ATATAATCTAAGTTAATAAAATAGTTGAACAACTCTTTAGATTTATATTTGTATAGAAATGATCTGTGGAACATCTCATCTTGAAACAGCAGTGCATGAAAACAACAATTCAGCAGGATATTTTAAAAGAACATTTGAGAATAGAAGATACAATGTTAATTCTCACAAAAAAAAAAAAAAAAAAAAAAAAAAAAAAAAAAAATCCATGCAAAAATAACCCCTACCATCCTCCTGCTTTCTCTCCTATCCAAAGTATAAGGCCTTGTTGAATGACCATATCAATGACTGGCCTTTTTTTTCCCCAGTATCCTTCTTCGTGTCTACATTAGGAGCTATTGTCTAAATCGAGTAGCTAAAAAAAGATGAAAAACCAGTTGCACAATCCTAGTCTGCAGGTGACAGTCATAACATCTCTTTATACCAGTCACTACTGTTATTTCGAGAATTCATTATCATGTTGTGTTTGTTCTTCAACTCTTGCCTACAGGGCTGGTGTCAGTTATTGTCAATACGCCTTTTTTTTTTTTTAAACAGAAGTCAGTCTATCTACTATTGCTTCAGTCTTCTTTCTTCACTTACATGTAGTTTAAATTCTACGTAGTGCTGCCTGAAAAGGGCCTACTTTGTGGTATTTCCCCCACTTGAAACAAGGCGCATAGCTCAAGTGCTTATCATCTCCTCGCTGCAGCTATGCATCTGGGTCACCCGTGGGATGCCTTCTAGAGACTACGAGGCATGTTCTTTGCTATATCATCCCATTTATCTTAGTCCACTCATAGATGTCCTGTTCACATACTATGTCTGAGTTGATGAGGAGGTATCTGTCCCCAACACAGAAGTGCTTCTGGCAGGCAGCGCATTTGAAGCATTCGAGGTGATAAACTTTGTCCTTCACTCGCATGGTCATCTCGTAAGCCCGGATTCGCTTGTCGCAGGAGGCACAGAGGCCATCTTGGCCAAAGAGCCTAAAACAACAACAACATAAGTGGATTTCTATTGCAGGAGAGATGAGGAAAAAGTAATAAAAAAAAAAAAAGGACACAACATCAGCACCTTGTTCCGTCAGTCACAGTACTGACGAGGCACAGAGTCACATGGAAAGCTGCTGAGCAGAGCTCTAAACTTTGTGCCACCTAAAACTGAAGTAGCAAGTTCAAGGTCCTCACCTATTTTCCAATATATTCAATTTTTGTGATCAACAGTCTTATCCTGAAAGTCCCGAGCAGCTTCAGTAGAGTAAAGGTTCTCTGCATCACACCATATCTTTATGCCATGCTAACACGTGCTTCTGTTTACACAATCAATGGAAATTACATTTCAGTTGATAAGTTTTGCCTGGCTTCAGCTGTTGCTATTGTAAGTTGAGAAATGCTGTGATTTAATATCCCACAATGTTTTTCTTGCCTCTGTTTTTGACATTCTTTTGCACGCAAACATTTTCATATACCTGAAATCACTCCTGCTCAGATTCAGGGGATACATACTAAGACCCTCCGGACACCCAAAGAGTTTCAAGATCTGGATTGCTCTTTCATTTCACATAAAGAAACCCTGCTGAGATCATCATTACTGTGTTGTCAATTAAAGGGAGCTGCTAAGGAACCCTCTGCACAGCCCTCTCGCCGCCTGCGCTACCACACGCCGTAGTGCCCAGCTGCACGTGGGGACCGCATGGATGGCCGCCCTCCGTGCGGTCTGCTGATTACAGAGTTTATTTATAAGCCCTATCATTAATAAATACTACAAGCATACTGTTTTCTTCTTATAAAATAAGCAAAAAAGGGAGGGGGGAGAAGGGGAAAAAAAAAAAAAGACACATTCTGAGCATATCCATATTAACGATGACTTGTGAGTTTCCATAATTATGAAAATTGCTTTTCCGACTCCTACAATTTTCTTACATATACTGCATTTGTTTCCTATCATCTTCTGAGCTGGACAAAGAATAACCTCTAAATTGTAATCTACTTCAGGGGAAACGACTTAATTTCTTTTGTCTACCAGGAGAGGTCAGTGTTCACTTGTACCCAAAGAAAGTCATAAAAGGTTACATGAAGCTGCAAATTTTCTTAGTAACAGAAAATAATGCACGTCACATTACTCAGTAAATAAAAACATTCAATTTTACTGCAGGAAAATATATTAATTTTATCCCCATAGGGTTTATTGCTTTCATTTTAAGATGAAAAGAATTTGGAAAGTTCACTGGCACAGTGTTGCATATGCAGAGTATTTATATTTGTCTCATGAGCAGAACTTAATTTTTCAATTTCTGCTTGGCAAAAGTCCCATTGGAATAGCTCTGGGAGACAGTAATTAAGAACTCCTCTTTTTGTTTTAGTTTTTACTGGCAAATAAAATAGACATCAAAAAGGTAGCTGAAAAAGCAAAATACCAAGTCATTCTATTCTACAAACTTCCTGTTATAATGGATCCTAGGGATCCAAACAGCAACAGGCAGCATATGGCCAGTGCAGCAGAGATCAATACATTTAATTGTGGTCAAGAATATAAAGATGGAATTTGTTGGGAAATGTATAAATCTCAATGTAATTTTTCTACTTACACATTTTGCTAAATCAGATAAGGAGAGAGATATTAATGAAAAATAATTTTAACAAGTAGATCTGTAGGATCTGATTTGGCAAAACGTGCAAGTTCATGTCTATTCAGGTGCAGCCTTAAGAAATGATAAAAATCCACTTGGCCCAACTTGGCAGGGTCAAACATTCCTGCCCGAGCTGCGGCTTGGCGGGAACACGCGGCCCGGGTTGTCTTGCTGCTGGCACTGCTCCGGGGAACGTCACCCGTGATGCCCACAGGGACAGAGATCGGTCCCTGTCTGAAAGACGCTTCCTTCAGAAACCAGGCGGGTGCAGCAGCCCCGCTGATCGGAGCAAGCAAGAACCTCTCACCTGGGTGGTATTACTGGCAAGATGAATCAAGTTCGTTTGCCTTGAATACCATATGCTTAAGTGAGACAGCTAAAAGATCTCTCATCAGTAGCTGACCTTGGCACCTGGTTTTATATACATTTTAAGTCAAAAGCAGCACTTGTGGAAGCACAGAACCACCTAAAAGCATGCCAGGGAACTGCCTTACTGTCAGCTCAGAGGGAAGAGTCATTCTCCCCGAAACCCATCATCTTTCCCCAGTTCCATCCCAAGAAAATGCCATGCAAGTGCTGGGACAGCACCGTTCACTTGGAGCTATCAGCTGGCCCACCATCACTTAGCAAGTGCTGTTGTGTCACAACTGGGTCTACCGTCAGCCCTTACGCTCAGCAGGTAATAGACCGAATCCCTCATGGATCTTTATTTGCTGCCTCTACCTTCCTTCCACTAACGAGCAAACCCGGAACGCGAGGAAGAAGGGGAGCAAGGGCAGGAGGACACGGAGCCTGCGGAAGCTGCATACCTGAGATAGTCCCTTCTGCAGAGCTTCCTGCCCAGCTTGTAGTAGAGGCGCCTGCCCACCTCGCCGAGGCGGCAGCCGCACAGGTCGCAGCTGAGGCAGTCCTCGTGCCAGTACTGGTCGATGGCCTTCAGGAAGTAGCGGTCGCCGATGCTCTGCTGGCAGCCGCCGCATGTCAGCAGCGACGGCGGGATCTGGAGCACCTCGTCCACGGGCTCCCTGAGGGAACGACAGAAGCGTTGGAGCAGGGAAACGTTCGCCCAAGCCGGGCGGTCGGGAAGGAGGAGAAGGAAGAACAACACGAAAGGCTGGCCAAGTTGGAGTCCTCGTTTGATTTCTCTCAGCAAAGGGAAGGATTTAACTCTGGTGATGTCAAACAGTTAACTGGCATTTGCACAACTCTGTGCGAAAAAAAGGCACACATCTTTTTTGTGGTATTGCACCAACTACTCATGAATGATACTTGTTCCATTTTAAGAAAGCTGTGAGGTCTAGGATGGTTCTGAAAACACCAGGGGCTAAAGCAATATATTTTTTTTTCCTTAAAGAGTTCTCTTACCTCTTTGTGCAATTTTACAACTTCTGCAGGGAAAAAAAAAAAAAAAAAAGAATAAAACAGAAAAAAAAAATTCATTTGAGCTCAGTTCTACAGGGTTTGCAGTGACCTGGCACTGCCACGAAGGGCCTCATCCCAACCGCAGGGAAGTCAATAAAAAGACTATTGGATCAATTCCTTTAAGCACTTGCTTAATTCTAAACCTGTGGCTAGTGACCAGGCAGTCATTTATTTGCCCGTTTTGCTTCTCTGCTTTGCTGGATCTTAACCGAGCAGCCCGGTGACGGGCAGAGGTGGTCGCAAGCTGCGTACAAGGCAGATGGTCCCCAGTGCTCCGTACGGCCCCGCAGCGCCTGTCCCTGCCGCCCAGCCCTGCACTGCGCGGCACGGTGCTGCACTGCACTGTGCAGGGCTGGCGCCCCTGGGAGGGCACCAGGCCACGCGCCCCTGCAGACACTGCTCCCTCACATCCCATTTTCACTCTCCCAAGTTTGGACCGCTGCGCCCTACAAGTTTTGTTGCAGCCACCCCTTCCTACCAGCACTGAAATCGTGGGGTGCTCTGCTTGCAATGAGACTCTCCTCATTCAAAATTGAGGCTTTTGTGCCATGTGCCTCCTTTCCTGAGGCATGGGCTCCACTCTGACAAGCTCCAAGAGGATATGCAGCTGCACCGGAATGGGCATTATTAACCTTTATTGGAAGCTTCAGATGTACCCCAAAAGATTTGGATATGCCTCAGGCATCACAAGGCAATTCTCCCAACGCCCTGCAGCCCGGAACAGGCCTGTGGCTGTTTACGTAGAGCAGAATTGCTGGTTTCAGCATTAGCTTTTTGATGTTCAAAGATTTCTAAGCCAGCACTTAGGCACTACAACAGCCGGTAGGTAAATAAATACTGCTAAAACTTTGCACTTCAAGCCTGGATGCTATATGCCTAGGAAGTTAGATGATAATTTCTTAAAAACAGCATGGAATTTAAAAAAAAAAAAAAAAAAAAAAAAGCAACATGCAAAACATCAAACGTGACATGGCATGAGTTGATTTAATCTATGTATGAAACAGCCCATGTGCTCGCATGGACCTTCAAGGGAAGGCCCCAAGTGACCCAAATCACAAATGGCTAAAGTTTACCGAGCGGTACTCCAAGCCACATCTGCAAATGGGGATTTTGCAGTTCTGCCTCCCGCCTTATCGCGATGCCGGACAAGCCCGGGTGCGGTCACGCAGCCGCGGGGCGCTGAGGGGACCCCGTGCTCTAGCTGTGAGCTAGGGCGTCGCGTGCACGGGCAGGGCTGGGCACTGCCCGCGCTTGGCTCCCGGGGAGGGGGTGGCAGCCCCTGGAAATCAGGGTCGCAATGCGAGAGCTGGTCAACCATGCACGTGAGAAGTGGGGAGACAAATTCCCTGCTCTGCACGCTTCCAAGTAGGGATCAAGGCTCCCCAGCTATCCCACTGCGGCGCTTCCCGGGCGCTGTGGGGAGCCGCAATGGGGCACGGACGCGTGGGAGCTGGGCACCCCCAGGGAGCAGCCCCGGCCTCTCGCTGCCAGCCGCGCGCGGGCACGGCGGCCGTGGGGCGGCCGGGGCTCTGCTCCAGGAGCCGCTCCGCTTGCTGCGGCGGCGTCTCCTCCACCTGCCCGAGGCGCCTCCCGCCGGGAATTCCGCGGTACCGGGCGCTCCCGCAACCCGTAAGCCGGCGGGGCGCGGGCGGGAGGGAGGCGCAGCCTCGCGCAAGGCCGGCCGGGCGGCGCGGAGCGGCGCGGAGCGGCGCGGAGGCCACTTACTCGGCGGGGTCGAGGCTCTTCCTCTCGATGGCCGCGGACATGGGCAGCGGCGGCTCCTTCGCGACGTGCCGCGCCTGGGAGGTGCCGGCCGCGCAGGGCCCGTCGGCGCGCGCAGCCCGCTCCGCGGCCGCGCTGCCCCTGCGCCCCGCGAGCACATTCACGGGGTTTCCTCCTGCACGAGAGACACAAGGGACGTGGGCCGGGGCCGGGGCCGCCCCCGCGCCGCCCCGCGCCGCCGCCGCCGCGCGCTCACCTCCCATGGTGGCTGCGCGGGCGCGGGGCGGCGCGGGCGGCAGCGCCCGGCACCGCGCGGCGCTCCGCTCCGCTCCTCGCTTCCTTTTTCCTGATCGCGGCTCAAATACAATGGAAGGAAATCACGCTTAAAGGCACCGCGGCGCCTCCTTAAAGGCGCAGGGCCCGTCCTCGCCCCGCGCAGCGCCGCCGGGGGCCGGGGGGGGGCTCAGGGAGCCCGAGAGCCTCCCCGCGCCTTAGCCGGCCTCCTCGGGAGCGCAGGAGCCGCCGGCCGGCGGATGCCTGAGCCCATGTCCCCATGCCCATGTCCCCATGCCCGTGTCCCCATGCCCGTGTTCCCACGCCCTGCACATCAAGCGCCCGGGCGAGGGGCGCGGGGCTGCCTCCCGCCTACCGTTGAGAGCAGCCTCCCGATGCGGCCGCGAGCACCCACGGGTGTCCCCGCCGCCGTGTCCCCGCCGCCGTGTCCCCGCCTGCCGCCCGCGCCTCCTAGGGCCGCTCCGCGCCTCGGTGCCGCCGGGTGGCAATGAGCCGGGGGAGCTCCGGAGGGCCGAGGATCGATCTGTGATTAATCACAGGACAGCTGAAGATGGGGACGTCTCGCCCGAGCATCTCCCTGTCCCTTCCTCGCCTTCCTCCCCCCTCCTCTCCATCAGCACGGTACATCCCGGAAAGGGCTGATTTACGGCGCGAGAGTGAAAACTATTACAGCAATTGGAGCATTTTTTTCCATTCACTGTGGCATTAGATACCGGCTGTAGCTGGAGGCGGGATGCTGGCTGAGCCCGGCTGCCTCCCCTCTAATTCCTTTAGATACAGCAGGAAAGATCTGTAACAAAGCACTAGTGAGCAGTAGCAGAAATCTTTAACTTCTATATTCATTCCCAGATCAGAAATATATTTGATGTCTATTTTTATGGCCAGCTTTTTTTTTTTTTTTTTTTTTTTNTTTTTTTTTTTTTTTTTTTTTTTTTTCCCCTGTTTTAGCAGCTAGGAATATAATAGCTGAAATACTTAATAAGTCTGACTCAAAGATTAGTAATGTCAGCAGAAGGAGTAATTCGAAGGGTCTTTGAACCAAGCTGTCACAATTTTCAGAGCCATTGCTGGACATTAGAACACTTATTTTTTAGTCTTAAAAAAAAAATTGGTATTCTTCACAAAAGGATTCTTATTCTTCTATGTAATTTCATATATATATGCATTGGGATCAGAAAAGTAAAAGGTAAACCGTTCAGGGAGAAAGAATAGCTGAACTATTATAGGGCAGAAAACTGTTAACTATAGGGAACTTTATTAAGAAAGTTTAAAAAACAGAAATTGAATTTAATGTTGGATTAAAAACATATGTGAGAACTTTAAACACTTAAGAAAGACACTTCTGGGAGGCTGGTGTCCCCTCACTGCTAATGGTGCATTCGTAGTACCAGGTAATGTCTGTTTTCAGATAACACAGTTGTGCGCACAGTACACAGGCTGCCTAATTGCCTTCTACTTATTTTCCCCAAATCTGCAGGAAAATATGCCTTTAAGACTTCTGTCACTCTGTCTATTTAAAAGAGACCAACAGGTTCAACGTTTTGGTAAGGGTTAGGCATGTAGACGTTGACACTTAAGGAGCTATTTGCTATCTTAGAACAACAGCATAAAAACAATGATTTCAAATATAAAGTGGCCAGTGATTGTTGGAAAACGTAATTTTTTAAGCTCAGCAACACCTAAATTCCTATATTTGATGAGACTATCTCAGGTCTGACAGATACCCTCACTGTCATGAGGGTACCAGTGACAGATACCCTCACTGTCAGTATGAAATTCCTCATTAGCTGTAATGAGGGGTTTCGTATTCTCCAAGTTGAGTTGATGTTTACGTGGACAGGATGAGATGCTTGCTGCCTTGCATGATCCAGCTCTAAACCACAGAAAGATTTAACTAAAGGTGTAAGAAGAGAAGCTGAGGAGGACGATTTCTACATGTTTTAGTGTCATTCCTTCAGTCGGGTGCAGAGCTCCACTGAGGCTTTCAGATCCAGCAGTCTCCCTAAGAAAAATCAGGTTGTTGAGTGGCTCCTCCTTGTGAGAGTGCTGATATCCATACTACCACAATGTAGTGATAGCTACAAGGTTATTCATTGTTTTCTTTCCTTCCCATGAAGGAGAGATGCTCAGTAAAGTAATATGAAGAGAACTAGGAAAAGTGGAAAAAAACAGGCAATTTGCAGGTACATAACGTAATAATCTTTTGGGAACAGCTATAATAATAATCCTCAGTGCTAGTGTTTGTGATGCCTACATTTCCCACACAGGGATAAAACAACCAGTACTATTTCTAGTGAGGGATTTTTTTTTCCATTGTCCCTTTCTCTGCGAAGCTACGTTTTCCAGTGCGACTTAGCACGGCTTTTTGCTTTCCCTGACAGACTGAAGGATGAGTGTTGATTTCAGTAAACTTTTATTAATATAGATCAAACTACAGACAAATTCTTGGAGCATTGCTAAGATAAAACCCTGTATTATTATTTGTATTTAGCATTCAGCTCTTGGAATAAAATGCTGTGAATAAATTGGCTAGACTTTTCTGTATATTTCTCAATAGGCTATTTTGTGTAGAACTGCATTGTTTCTAGGAGTGATATCATTGACACAAATAGCTAAATGTGGCTGTTTCCAAAGAAACATCCCCTCTGGAGCTTGGTGAGTATTTTCACCGTTGTTTTTGGAACTCTACTCATTTGAGGTCCTCAGATGCCCTCTTGCACAATCACAAGTCACTCTCAGGTTGTTCCTACCTTTATTTCGTCATGAGTACACACTCTTTTTATTTCCCCCTGGAGTTGATAGATAATATTGAGCTATCCCAGGCCACTGTCATTTAGAAATATCTGAGAATAGTGAGATGAAATTTGCTGCCTTCAGTAGTCAGTAACGTTTGTTGCCTGAAATGCAGTTGATGAAGATTTAAAACACAAAAATGAAATCTTAGTGATTTCTTAGTGAAGATTTCTTAATGAAATCTTAGTCAAGAGGCCTAGATTGCCTCTTAGTACTTGCTTTGGGGTAGTAAAGTCAAGACCATGTTTAGGAAGAGGGAAAAGGTCCACTATAGCCTTGACTATGTTCTGCCACTGATCCACCATCTGGTGTATGAAAAGTCGTGGCTGCATTCGATTCTTCAGTTTACCTGTTTGAAAAATGGAGGAATTCTTCCTCCTTCCCACTGCAAGCGGAATCGGAGCTTTGGCACATGAGATCTTTGGCTGACATGCTAAGGAAACATAAAGGTGTTTTTTCCTTTGCGTTTTTTGAACACAATTTTGATGCTCCAAAACAAGTTGGGAGGCTCAGTAGCAATTCTCTTTGTCCATCTCTGGTCTCTGCTAAAGAATACAGAATACTTGGGGAGAAATATAAATCAGCTGCCAATTAAATACTGCTGGCCTCACTGGAGACTCAGTGCTGTATGGATAGCAAATCGTTTTCCTGTCACGTTGCAGGAAGGCTGCATAACAGGGGTGAAAAATCAACACATAACTTAAGGAAAAATACATGTTTTGCTTTTTCATGGACAAGGAAAACTGGTTTTTTAGTCAATAAGTTATGTTACATGTGCTTTCTCCACAAATGCTGTTTTCTTTTGTTTTGCTTTCACTTGCAAGACCATGCATTTATGCTGTGTGTTGTGGAAGCTGCGTGGCCAGCTGCCTTTTTGACTTCCCTGGGATGGAAGTGGTGATAGCAAGGACAGGGAGTTTGCCTTGAGTGAAGACCACAGGCACTAACCTTGATGTCTGGAGGCTACCCATAAAGTATGATTTAAAGGACTTTGAGGCTCCTGACTAAAGATGCACTTCTCTTTTTTGGGGGGTTAACCTTTCCTTTGAACTAGGAAAAAAAAAAAACAAAAAAAAAACAGAACAATAAAAAATAGGCTTAGGGTGAGGTTTGCCCCGGGATTGCGGAGTTCAGACTTTCAGATAATAAGTCTGGTACAGAAAGACCTTTGAGTAGTTCTAAGTTTTGGGGGTTTTTTTACTTTATTTTCTTGAACAACTAACACAGGTGAAAAAAAAAGAAGTCTGTCCTTTAGTTGAGAAAAATCTTCCAGCTCAGGTCACAGCACGGATGCTGAAAAGTACGTGCAGGCAGATGAAGGGATATTTCACTGCAGACATGTGAAAGGTTCTTCCCCTCCCTCTTTCCTCTCTCTTCTTTCATTGATTTCTCCTGCACCCATCAAGCCCTCGCTGTCTCGCATGACAGCAGGATCCAATTACTGCCTTTTTTCTTTCTTTCTCTTCATAAGGCTCTACAGTATCATTCTTTGAAATCATTTGCACCTTTTCTGTGCTTTCTGCGCTAAGGACTCTCTCCTGTGCTCGTGCATGTGACTCACTGCACGGATAGTTTTTATTTCAGCATTGCACGTCTCACCAAAGCCCCTACACATCACAGGGAAGGCAGGTGCCATTAACCTGAATGGACTTGGAGCCTGACCCTCCAATATTTTTCTTTTAGGAAATAACCAGTGACTGGAAATACAACTGCCTCAGGCAAAATTTTAGATATAGTCATATACCAATGAGAACCCTTGTAGTTGAGGCTCTCCTATTTTTGTTTATATAAAATATGCATATGTGTGTGCATATAAATATATATGCATGTGAATGTGTATATATGCATATATATTTATACATTTAGATGTCTGTGCGTACAATGTATATATAATTATAGATTTGTGTTTGTGTCTATGTTTTTGTAAATACGTAAGCAGAAAACACAGGCAGACCCGTAAGATTTGTGCTTTCAGACTTTGCCGCTTTCCAAGTTGTTTCTGGAACAAGGACGGCTTCTCCAGCTGCCCACTGGCGCTGGTTGCTCACGCTATTTCGTATTATCTGAGAGAGTGACCAGGTGGGACACACCACGAAGTGCAAGTGCGCGTGCACAGGAGGTCGGCTCCTCCCGGAGCACCACGAAGCCTGGGCGCTGTGTGGGGTCAGCCCCGGGG